TAGTATGTCCATTTTCTGCTGCTTTTTGATACCAATGAAAGGCTTTTTCTAAATTATTTTCTATTCCTTCTCCTTTAATATACATACAGGCTGAGTAAAACATTGCATCAGTATGTCCATTTTGTGCTGCTCTTTGATACCAATAAAATGCTTTTTCTAAATTCTTTTCTGTTCCTTTTCCTTCTTTATAACATATGGCTAAACTATTCATTGCTTTAATATGATCTTTTTCTGCTGCTTTTTGATACCAGTGAAAAGCTTTTTCTAAATTTTTTTCTGTTTCTTCTCCATTATTATACATGATGGCTAGATTAAACATTGCATTTTCATCATTTTTTGCCGCTTTTTGATACCAATAAAAGGCTTTTTCTAAATTCTTTTCTGTTACTTCTCCTTTTTTATAATATATGGCTAAATTACTCATTGCTTCTTCAATACCATTTTCTGCTGCTTTTTGATAACAATGAAAGGCTTTTTCTAAATTCTTTTCTATTCCTTCTCCATTTTCATAACATACGGCTAAATTAAACACTGCATAAGTATGTCCATTTTCTGCTGCTTTTTGAAACAAATGAAAGGCTTTTTCTGAATTCTTTTCTGTTCCTTTTCCATTATAATAACATGTAGCTAAGTTAAATATTGCTTCTTTAACACCATATTCTGCTACTTTTTTATACCAATAAAATGCTTTTTCTAAATTCTTTACTGTTCCTTTTCCTTCTCCATAACATATGGCTAAATTATTCATTGCTCCTTCAACACCATTTTCAGCTGCTTTTTGATACCAATAAAAGGCTTTTTCTAAATTCTTTTCTGTTCCTTCTCCTTTTTTATAATAAATGGCTAAATTGAACATTGCATTAGTATGTCCATTTTCTGCTGCTTTTTTATACCAATGAAAAGCTTTTTCTAATTTTTTTTCTGTTCCTTCTCCATCATAATAACACATGGCTAAATAAACCATTGCAATAGTATATCCATTTTCTGCTGCTTTTTGATACCAATAAAAGGCTTTTTCTAAATTCTTTTCTGTTCCTTCTCCATTATTATACATGATGGCTAAATTAGACATTGCATTAGTATGTCCATTTTCTGCTGCTTTTTTATACCAATAAAAGGTTTTTTCTAAATTCTTTTCTGTTCTTTCTCCATAATTATACATACTGGCTAAATTAAACATTGCATTAGCATATCCTTTCTCTGCTGCTTTTTGGTACCAATAAAAGGCTTTTTCTAAATTTTTTTTTGTTCCTTCTCCATTATAATATTTATCGGCTAAATTAAAACTTGCTTCAATATGGTCTTTTTCAGCTGCTTTTTGTATCCAATAAAAGGCTTTTTCTAAGTTCTTTCCTGTTCCTTCTCCTATATAATAACACACTTCTAAATTAAACATTGCATTAGTATATCCATTTTCTGCTGCTTTTTGATACCAATAAAAGGCTTTTTTTGAATTCTTTTCTGTTCCTTCTCCATTTTTATACATACAGGCTAAATTAAAAATTGCTTCAATATAGTCTTTTTTGGCCGCTTTTTGCATCCAATAAAAGGCTTTTTTTAAATTCTTTTCTGTTCCTTCTCCAGTATAATGATATATGGCTAAATTAAAAATTGCTTCAATATGGTCTTTTTCAGCTGCTTTTTGTATCCAATAAAAGGCTTTTTCTAAATTCTTTTCTGTTTCTTCTCCATTATAATATATACTGGCTAGTTTAAACATTGCATCTTCATCATCATTTTCTGCTGCTTTTTGAAACCAATTAAGGGCTTTATTTAAATTCTTTTCTGTTCCTTTTCCATAATAATAACTATTGGCTAAATTAAACATTGCTACTATATTACCACTTTCTGCTAATTTTTCCAACGAATTAATACATTCTTTACACCACAATTTTTCAGTAAAAGGCTTATTGCAATATAAACAATTTTTGATGTTTATTAAATTAGTATCTTTATCTGAGATATTTGATTTACTAAATTTAGTAACCATTTGGTTTTATTTTTGAGATAAATTTTGCTAAAATTTTATTTTTTTAAAAATTTTTTTTCTCGTTCAATGAATGAGTTACTAGAAGGGAAAATTTTAATTAAAAGTAGAAGTTACGACAAAAAATTTTTTCGGACATATTTTTCCGATGCACTGATCTGCGTTGAGAAATGTTGCACTTCTACACAATAATGTATTTAATGTGACACAGAATGTTACGATTGGAATTATGTTTTACCATTCATGTGATTTTAATAAAAGGAAGGAAAAAAAGTTTTCTCACAAAATGAATATATAGAAATAATATAATAGATTAATTAAAGAATTTTAAAAACTTTTTTGTTATAGTTTTAAAAATATTATTAATATCGAATGTGTAACTCTTTCCGTCGATCATCAGTCCAAAAAATTCTCAGAACGAAAAAATAGACGGAGTGCTAAAAGTTATTTTTTAAAGATTTTTTACGTATTTCTGACATTTTATTCACTTTTTTAAGAAGCTGTAGATATGTTTTTTTTCTCAAAAGTTATAAGTAGTTTATAGATTAATTGCCATTGACCAGGTTCGCAGGAAATTACTTAAAAAGCTGGCATGGGCAAAGGTTTTTTAAGGAGCAGTCTTGAAAAGAAGCAACCAGGACCAATAAATAAATTAACCACTTTCACCTTACTTGTTTATGGGCTTTGGTTACTTGGACTCGGAACTTTTCCGTCTTTTTTCGCTTTTTTTTCGGTGGCGCAGCACAACGTAGTCCGAATTTCGGCAAGAAATTTTACCGATGACGTAGTCCCAAGTGTAGATAGGTGTTGCTTAAACCTGTTTTCAATCTAAAGTATGCAGACTTGTAAGAAACCATACATGTATGAATTTTTAGCATAAGAATAAATAACATAATACATGACGATCAATCAATACATGATCATAAAACACGGTTTAATAATTTCTATTTATTAAACCAAAAACGAAAAAAAATTAAACTTTCTAATTCTTTGCGTAGCTTTATATTTTCTAATTCTAGTTTTTCAACTTCTGCTAGAGCTCTATGATTTGCTGTTTGTCTTTCAGCCAATGTTCTTTAATTTCTATTTGTAAAATAGTACACGTTTTCACTTCTACTTCTTTTATATATTATAAATATGATAAATAACTTGCAAATAAAGAAACTAAGTCCAATTTAATAAATACACAATTATTATAAATCAACCTATAAATCAATATAACAATTAATAATATATATGCATAATTTTATTATAAATCAACCTATAAATCAATATAACAATTAATAATATATATGCATAATTAGGCTGATAAGTTATTAAATGAGATGTCAGTGGTAGCCAATAAATTAGGTATTCAATTATGTACAGTACGTATTTGTGTTCAAAACCATACTGCGTAAAACCATACAAACCAACCATACCATACATGATTGCTTATATACCCAGTGTAGATTTCATAATGGATCGGCAAAAATTAGAGCGTAGTGAACCAGTGTTCGGAAATGACCTGGTCATTTGACCATTTTTCGGATTAGGAGTCATTTGGTCAAATGACACCCCATCATTTGGCATTTGGCATTTGAATTATTCGTGAAATGACAAATGCCAAATGATTGGGTATCATTTGAATGTCATTTGCGTCCTTTGTCATTTGGTCATTTGTCATTAAAATATTTAAAGATTATTGGACAATTTATAATCACGTGATGTATAAAAAAGGAAGGACGTAATCGAAATAATCACAAACAGAATCAATTTCACAAAATTATTTATTTTTTACTGTAATCTGAAAATAATAAATAATACAACCATAATTATTAAAGTGATAATAATATCTGATATGTTATTTATTATATATAATTTTATTATATAATTATATGCATAAATAAATGTTATGGCCATCTTATGATTAAATAAAGACAACAATTATATATATGGGATCCACTACAGTTGTTACAATTAAATATTTTATTGCATAATTAATTAACTTTTATCTGTATGGATAAAATGATCATTAGTGAAATAATTATAAGTGAAATAATCCTGTCTATAATAATATTATTAACAAATAATAACCTGTAAAAATAATGACAAATCACGTGATCAAAAAATCTTTACTACTATTGAAACTTTTTTGATTATATATATTAAACCAATTTTGTTTTAATATTTTTGTTTTCTTAATTAAAATAAATAAAATAATTAATAAGAATTCTCAGAATATTTAATATTTTTCAAATGACTTAAATGACAGGTCATTTGAGTTGCAAATGACAAATGACAAATGACTTGTCATTTGAGTCATTTGTTCATTTCAAGTCATTTGACAAACACTGTAGTGAACGTCATGACAAATAAATACAGTATAGACAAGTTTACAAGTCTTCTTGTTCTAAGAAATATCAAAAAGAAAGCTTTGATAAGGTGGATTAATTTCCATTATAACGAATGTTTGTACGTTTTATAAATCTCTACTTCAATAATTTTTTTGAAGCCTTATTCAATATTATTTTTTTGATATTGGAGAATTGGCGTGACGACCGTGGCGTTACCGTACTTACGTATCAAGTCTATCAAGTGAGTTCTGTATTACAACTTAACGACTTTCTGTTTCTCCTATAATTTCGTATTAAAAAAAAACCTTATAGAAATTATATGTCAAAACTCTCAATTAATTTAACAATTTAATTGGATTTTTATTTTATATTTTCAAGCTTTTGTTAATTTTTTTTTTTTTACTTTAGTAAGCAACAGATTCATTATTATTTTCGAAATTTAAATGGGTTTTAATCCTATTATCCTACTCTGTAGTTTAAGGTCAAATTCACATGATTTATGGTTTAATAATTGTCATGGATAAGTAGTATTCATCATATGATCATAGTATCAAAAGGTGGGCTGTATTATGCAGTGACTGAACACGAGGTATTAAATATGAAAGATTTTTATTGTCACTACTGGTTAAAATCCGTGAATAGCCTATAGTTATTATTTAATTATTAAAATTTATTTTACACTTCAATATATCAAAATGGGAGGGTTATAAAGATTGTTTGTATATTTAAAGATTTTATTTAAATTGATTTTCCTATATAAACATATTGACTGTTAAAATAATATCCAACAATAAAATATTTACGATTTAATTTTTCTTTTCAACAAATCGAACTAAATATAAGCTGAAAATAGATATTTTTTTTATAACTTTCAAAAGAATAAATACAATAAATTTTAAAAATATATTTACGACAAATAGAAAAAAAAAAACAAAAAAGTCACAATAATCCAATTATGTATTTGGATTAAATTGCGGTAACATTGAATATACAAAATAATTTTTTAAGTAATAACCATATTAATTAATTAATATAATCTTCCATAATTACGTGAGGTCGCAATGGATCCAAATTTATTAGGTACTTCGATGTTTTTTCCAACATATTTATCAAATTGGTCAGTAAATGAATAAGGAAATGGAAGTTCAGTTGGTTGAGAAACATCATCAAGTCTTTTCATTTGTTCAGGTGTCAATCTGAAAAAAAGATTGGTTTATATTAAGTAAATTTCAGAAATTTTTTTTTTCCATAAAATAAAAATTATGATCAAATAATTATACTTACTTGAATTCAAGTGATTTAAGATTTTCTTCAAGCTGAGTAACTGTTTTAGCACCAATTAAAGGAGAAGTAATACCGGGTTTTTGTTGAATCCAATTCAAAGCAATCTATTTATTTTTTTAAAAAAAAAATCTTAATAAAATTTATATTTAATATTTAAAGTTAGAATATATATAAATAATTACCTGAACGGGAGATCTATCAATTTCTTTTGAAATAGCAGTAACTTCATCTAGAATTTTCCAATTTTTTTCAGATTGTGCATGTTTTGCAATTGATTGACCGCGACTATCCGAATTTACTGATTCTCTCGTATATTTTCCGGTAAGAAAACTATTATAAAAACAATTAGTACAACGTTAAATATTTTAACATAAAAGAATGCATCAATGATTAATAATTACCCTTCAGCAATAATACCCCATGGAATAATTCCGATCTAAAATTTTTGATTTAATATCATTATAATGTATTTCAAGTGTATGAAATAGTGTAAACGTTAAATTTAAATTTATGATACATACGTCATGCTCAGCACAAGCAGGTTGTAAGTCAAATTCCATCGAACGATCCAGCAAATTATAACGCGTTTGTAGTCCAATGAAAGGGCTAAACACGGTTAATAAATATATGTTAACCTAAAATTCTACTTTACTATTTACAAATTATAATTATAATTTCGTACCTCCATCCACGTAATTCAGCAATGGTATTTGAACGAGAAAGTGCCCAAGATGGAGTGTCGCTTACGGCAACATACAAGGCCTATTTTATTTTTATAGTAATATATTTTAGAAAATAATTTGTGTGGGACTGTAAGTGGACTGTAAGACAAATTGTTTATTTACCTTTCCGCTTCGAACGATGTCATCTAATGATCTCATATACTCTTCAATTGGAGTTCGATATTCAAAGAAATGGACATATAGAATATCAACATAACTCATGTTCAACCGTTTCAAACTCTCATCTAAATTTTCTACAAGACTCTTTCGATGATTTCCTCCTATACATTTAACAAAAAAGTTTTCGTTTATTATCAACTATTTAATAATTGCGCTTGAATAGTTTACTGTAGGCTTACCAAAATTCGGGTTGAACCTCTTGTCCTTTTGCAAAGCAGTTGGATTACCTAAGAATTAAATGTCGAAAATCATTAAAAATTCAAAAATTAAATGAATTAAATGAAGTCACTAAGAAAACTCATAATTCATACACGAATATTTCGTTGCAATCACAACATCGGATCGTTTATCGGAAACGTAATCTCCAAGAAAACGTTCACTCTAGTTATTTTAATAATGAATATTAATATTGAATTAACTAAAAAAAATTGTAATATTATAAATACTTACATCACCAAAATTGTACATGTTGGCGGTATCTGAAAGATACATATATCATTATTAAAAATTTTTTTATAATCATGATAAAAATAATTGGTTACTGCGTAAATAAAAAAAATTACCAAAGAAATTTCCACCCTTTTCGTAATAAAGATCAAAAACTTTTTTCGATTCTTCTTTATTAGTACCTATTCCCTATATTTGTATAATGCTAATATTTTAAAAAACTATTTTCTTTTTTTTTTCTAGATAATCAATTCAAATAATTTAATATAAATCTTACCCATTGTTCTCCAAAAGTCTTTTATGTGTGAGAAAATAGAAATTATACATATATTACTTTAATAATTTACGTTAATTTTACACCATAATTTATGATCAGGCTTACGAAATAACCTTACCATAGCGCCAAGACATAATGGAGAAACTCTTAATCCACTACGCCCCAATAAGACATAATCATCTAGAGCTTTAGTAGTTTTAACGGGAGAAGTAGAATCTTGAGCCATTTTTTTTAAAAAATAATAATTTTTAAATTTTCGATTTCATAGATTCATAGTGTTTATTTATATATAATTTTATCGGTTTTTTTTTTCTATCGATTGTTATAATTAGTTTGGCAAAGCCGGCTTTTCGATTTTCGGGATAACGTTTATCCGAAAATAACGAGTGAACTAACCAAAAATGATAAAATTATAGAAATGAATATGTGACATAGTACGCAGTACTAATTTCAACTTTGTATTCAAATGATCGGCATGTTGCAGATAGTTCAGAATTTCGGTTAAACCTCGATTAAATTGAGTTAGATTAAAATCTTGGATCTTACGAATAGTATTCTACTTTTATATTGATTATTAATTATTAATCAAATAATACGTAACAAGAAAAAATGTTTCTAACCAAAAATTATTGATTCGGTTTAATATTTAATACTAATTACTAAATATTTCTATTTTACGGGCGAAAAGTTCCGAATTTAAGCGAAACTTTATTACAAATATTTAACTTTTATTAATATTCAATAATTGTATTGTAACTTCATTGCATAATAATAATTGCAAACCTAAATTACCATAATTTGAAATTTATTACACATATTTGTTTTCTTAATACGCAGTAACTGTATTGTAACTTCATTGTATAATAGAAACTATAAACCTGCATTACTTTAATTTGAAATTCATAACAGATATTTGTTTCATAATATGAAGTAACTGCACTGTAACTTTATTGTATAATAGTAACTAACTGTATTGTAACTTCATTGTATAATAGAAGCTGCAAACCTGCATTTCCACAATTTAAAATTCATAACAATTATTTGTTTTCTTTAATATGCATCCCTATAAAAAATTTTTCAGAAAAAATGATCACGTGTATGAGTTTCTTCGGAATAAGAACTAGAAAAATGATCATTTATCGGAGTTATTTCTAGAACTTTATTGTATAATAGTAACTGTAAACTTGCATAGTAGTTACTGCATGTTAAAGCGTCACAATCATAGAATAAGGAAACTACCGTAATTTATGATGAGAGTGCCACTTTTTATTTTTCCATTATTATCCTGATTAGATATCATTGTATAATGGAATGCACATTTTAAAAAGCAATAAAAAAAAAAGTAATTATTATTTTTTTTAATTATTTCATATAATAAAATTTTTAGGAAACTCATAATTAAATGGGAATTTTTTTCTTTTGTTTTACAATAATGAAAAACTTTTAAATATTTACAAGATCGTTATTTATTCTGAATGTTACTGAAGCTATATTTTCTTAAAAATCAAAATGACGTTTCATATAATGACTTTTCGATAAAATAACATGTTTCATAATGTTTGAAGTTGCTTGGAAACTTGTCTTTCGTGATAAGTTTTTTTCGTTTATTTTAAAAGCTCAACCTTAATCCTATTGATGAAATTTGGAATAAAAATTGTAACACAAAAAAAAAAAAAATAGTTACTCGGCACTTTCAACTATTGTACTTGCAATAAGCAATACGAGTTGTGAAATTTGCTGAGCGATGGCTCAGCAAATTTCACTGATCATATCCTTATTGCAATTACATGTAAGGTAAGCAGTTACGAGGTCACGTGTGCCAAGTAACTTTTTTATCAGGTTGGTATTTGATTGTACTAACAATTAGTAAATGTCTGATAAATAGTAATTACAAAAGCCATTATTTTTGATTTACGTAGAAGATATTGAAATAATTTTAAATATGATATAATAGTAATAGTTCCAACAGTTCCGAAGGAAGCCTGTAAAAAATGTTGATCCCGTGTTTTATATTTCCATGTTTATTCCGTGAATGTATCAAGTTTCTTGGAATTTATAGTCTTAATCATGAAAATTTTCATCCCCCTAATACGGATATCCGTGAATGTATCATTCTCACGGAATTTTTACAAGAAATAATGGAAATATTCGGACAAATTTTTTTATTGGGAAGTGGAGCGGGCAAATTAAAACATGCATGATTTAGGAGTAGATTATACAAATATAGTACGAATTTGCATCAAATTGATGGGCTCAATAATATATATAAGTATATATAAAACAAGTACGGTACGAAATTTTTGGAATTTTTGGAAATTTGATGCACCGTACCGTACTGAAGATACTGAAGATACATAATTTATAAATATTAATTAATATATGTATTTTTATTCATTTGAGAAAATAAAAAAAAATTGATTTTTATTAAATATTATAAATTTATAATGCAATCATTTGTATTTGGATTTTGAGATATCCCATACATTTTAACTTTATCATAATAAGCAATAAACTATTAAAAATAGGTGTCAATTATATTATAATTATAAATGTACTAATGTACTTGAAATAAATTATTATTCATGGTATCACGTGTCAGTCATGTCACCTAGAAATAATTTGTGACGTCATGTCACGTTAGAGTCTAACGTAGAGCAGATTATTTTTTTACTGCATGGGCATGATTTACAAATTACACAGCAACTTACTATCTTTTTTCGACCCTAAAATTTTTTTCACATAGAAATTAACTCCCGCTAACTACTACAATAATCACTATGTCTGATAGCACTGAACTTAAAATTACTAATAATTCAAATGAGTGGATTAATTGGATTGAAGAATCTATTGCGAAAGAATGAATTAAATATTATGACTATAATCATTTTAATAATATTAAAGAAATTGGTTTTGGTAGTTTAGGAAAGTCTAATCTTGCAAATTGGAAAAGTTCTCATAGTTATCTAGCATTGAAATCTTTTTTAATTTCAATGTTATGGCTAAAGAAATTATTAATGAAGTATTTATTTATCACTAAATTACTATCAACATCTTATCCACAATATAGGCCATTCTCAAACAACTACTTCAATTTAATCAGATAGTGATGTCATTATGCTAAAGTATCACTAAGAATATCTTTTTTATTGCTTGACATTAAGCAACAGACTTTTTTATTTTTTTTTATGATAATGATGAATTGAGTAAAAGTTAAAAGGCAATTAAAAATTTCTTGCATTAAAAGTAAAATAATATAAATTTAAATGATAATGCATTTTCTATCAATAGAAGATCATTGAGATCACCATTTGAAGAAAAAAAATGGTTTTTAGCTTGCTTGTTATTCATCAAATAGGAAGCTTTTCAAACTCTTTGAATCTTACTGATATTTTTTTGGTTAATCATTCACTCATCAATTTATTATTTGAGGTGCTTAAGAACACAAATAAAATAATTTATCAATCTAAATTAAAAAAGGGATGGAAGTAATAGTAAGTTGTTAAATACTAGTATTGATTATGCAACTTCAATAAATGAATTTCATGATGATATTTTAGGTGTTTAGCTGCTTTTATAAAATAAATAATGATTATAATATTACTCCAAGGCAATAATAATACAAGTAAATTTTTTGAGTATTGATTGGATATAACTTAAATATGCTAAACAAACTGCAAATAAAAATGTTATTTCAATAAATATAATATAATAATGTTTACTTTATTGTAAAAATGGTAAAATAATATAATTTTTTACTATATAATAATTAATAACTGATAAATAATCCGATAAACAACAGACATGTTAATCTTCAATTACACAATCAAAACCCTGAGTCTCTTGAACTAAAATTTCACTAAGTTTGCGACTTGTATAATGTGCTTGTGGATGAGATTGTATAATAGAAGCATTTACTTGTTCTTGCACTAAAGATTTGTTTGCCTCAACAAATTCCAACATAACATCTTCTAATTGATTATCAACATTAGGTACAACATATTCATAATCTCCATTACTATTTATTCTATAATAATCACTAATACATCCAATCCATTCAGATATAATATTCTCAAGCATTATTATAGTTGGTCTATTAGCAGGATCTGAATCCCAACATTTTTTCATTAAATCCACATAGCATTTTGGAGTATTTTCTATAATTTCAGGACGTTTCCCTCCACAAATACTCAAGATAAGCTTAAAATCATGTGCTTCATAATTAAATGGAGGAATACCTGATGTAAATTCCCACATTATCATTGAAAAACTATAAATATCGCTTGTTGGAGCGTAGGGTTTTTTTCTTAATATTTCAGGAGCCATATAAGGTAAAACTCCATAAATTTCATTAATTTTATTAGCAGTATCACTTATGGGTTTACATAATCCTAAATCAATAATAAATAACTCATTTTGATTATCTGACATTAAAATATTACCATCATGAAAATCACCATGAGTTAAATTTGATTCATGAATTACTTTGAGTCCTAATCAATAAATGTAATCTGTCTTGCCACTTAAATTTAATTATATCAGATAAACATTTTCTCAAACTTCCTTTTTTTGCATAACTCATTACTATTATATAATTTAAACTATTTGGATCTTTAGTAATTCCACAGAATTGAATAAATTTTGAAAATGATTTTTTTTGACAGGTATAATGATATTTCCACTATATAAATAATAAAAAAATTATTAAATTTTTGCAAGAGAAAATAAATTAGCTATAAAATAATATAAATAACATACCTCCTCCAGAAATTTATCATTTAAATTTGATGAATTATTAAGTGTTTTAAGAATAACCTCATAACCTGTTTGAAAATTACATCTATTCCATTGTTTTTTGTCAAAATTCCAACTAAAAATAGGTCCATCTAACCAGATAGCTTTATGAATTTCACTAAATCTTCCTTTATCATAATAATTAATACTTGACAATTTATCATAAGGTATCCATTCTAAAATTTCATAACTATTCTTAGCTTTTAATTGTGCTTCTTGAATAAATTTATCAATAAATTCATTTTTACTAGTCCACTTTGAAAAATCTTGTTGAAATTGTTTAGTATTACATTGTTGGCACCACTGGTAATAAGTATATGGTTGCTTGCATTCATTACATAATTCACCAGCTTCATTATTATAACTTACTTCATTACTTCTTGTTGCTCTTTGTTGCCAATAAAAGGCTTTTTCTAAATTCTTTTCTATTCCTTCTCCATATTCATAACATACGGCTAAATTATTCATTGCATCTGCATCACCATTTTCTGCTGCTTTTTTATACCAGTAAAAAGCTTTTTCTAAATTCTTTTCCGTTCCATTTCCACCTTCATAACGTATGGCTAAATTAAATATTGCTTCTCTATTACCATTTTCTGCTAATTTTTCTAAAGAATTAATGCATTCTTTACACCATAATTCATTAGTAAAAGGTTTACTGCAATATAAACAATTTTCGTTATTTATTGTATTGATATCATTATTTGAAATATTTAAATTGCTAAATTTCGTTCCCATTTTTTATTTAGAAACTTATTTTATTGAAAGAATTTATTTTTTTTTGACAAATTTTTTTTTATATTTTATTGAGTTTACTAAAAAGGAATACTTGAACCAAAAGTAGAAGTCACAACAAAAAAAAAAAAAAAATTTTTTCGGGTCATATTTTTTCCGATAAACTAATCTGCGACGAGTTAAAATCATAGATAAATATCTATAATAAAATATTGAATTTTTCAAAAATTAATCTTGTTATTTTTTTACATTAAGATTATTTGATCATATAATTTTAAAAAAAAATTAAGCGAATGTAAGCGAATTCATTATTTATTTTATGTGAAGCCGGCAGAGAAACTAAGCAAAGGGATGGACTATAACTAGCACGACCTAAACGAATCCTACCATCGAATTCCAGACAAGCTGGAGCCCAACCCGAACTTCTTGAAAAATAAAAGACCTGCACTACTACCACTACCGATAATAATCCAGGAGTAAACGAATTCATTATAATTCGATTAAATTTTTACGAATAGACATCATATGTGAATCACGTGATTAATTCAATATCCTCCGTATATTGAATTTGTTAATTCTCAATACAATATGAAAATTTGATTTTAAGCTCATTAATTATAACAACTAATTCCTTCAAAAAAAAGTAAGGAAACTTTCCAATAAGCACGTAAGTCGCAACCAGAAATTATCGCTTCTTATCTATAAAATATTAATGGTATTTCATTTCTTTTGAAGCCTCATCATGTGAAATATTGAAATTTATTTCTTTTTATTTATCCCCGACCCAAAGCGGTTTATAGATAATAAAATTATGATTTATTTTGAGTGTTATACTATTAATCATTAAAATATCTCTTTGTCTTTTTACTAAAAGATTTTAACTCTTAATATTTTGTATATAAACTATGAAACGTTGAAGTTTCTATATTAAATTGTCTTACACGCTTAATTTGATTCGTTTTACTGATTCTAATAAAATATTAATATTAATTTTGAATTTTAATTAATAATTCGTTAATTAAATAATTTATTTTTTTTTTATTTAATATAAATAAATGAATATATTAATTCATACTTTATATACTATTTTAGTATTCACGTTAATAAAATAATTTTTGACATTTTGCATGAAAAATATCAAGTAAAAAGTTTTATCATTAAGCGTCAAATTGAAATTGACTTTGTTTTAAAAACTCATTTTTATTCATTCTGCATAATTTAAATTATTTAAATAAAATTTAAAATTATCATATTAATGTTAATGTCAAATACTGTGAATAAATAAAAAAAAATTGAATAAAATACATTAAGAACATATAAATTATAGTATTAAAGTTATATTAATTCAGTTATTCTTTAAAGAAATTTTACACATTAACTGGGATGGAATCGAAGCTATCAGTCTAAATCAGTTTAATTGATTTAATATATTCGACGGTTGCAACAATCCAGAAAAACTATAAGTGTATTGCATTAATAGTTAATAATTTTTGAAGGTTCACGGTTGTGAATCTTCTACCATTTTGTACAACATCTCCCTTAAATGGTGAACTTTAATGATTATAATGATTTATGAAATTTATCAATCTCAAAATTATTAAATCTTTTAAATAGTAAGGTTTAATTGGCTATTTGATAGTATTTGTTTTCCACTCTGAAGAAAAATACGTCAAGTTATAGTAAATTAAGTTCATCATTTGTAACATCAGTAAGACTATTTACTTTCAATCAAAGATATTATATCTATTCATGCTGTATTAGACAGATAATAATTGGCAATATAATATATGTTGGCTTTATAAGAACTACAAACATCAAAGATGAAATATTAGATTTTTTAAAAGATAAAGCAAAGTTAAGGTTACTAAAATTTGAATACTTTATTATTACGTCCTTTGACAACTATGACTTTTACATTATAATTAATAAGATCGTGGAGGAAATTCAAAAAATTACTGGATAAGGCACGATTTATAATTTATATAGTAAAATAAGAAAAAGGAAAAAGAAATTTAAGTAATTCAATACATGGTAAAAAAAATATTCTTAAGCCATCATTAACCCAAAAAAATAAATTAAAATAAAATAAAAATAAATTGAAATGAAACGAAATAAATGAAAAATAAAAACAAAACAATGGATTAAATAAGTCACTACTTGAATAGCGAATTCTAATTCCAAATCCTAATATTATATATTTTAATGGCATCTATTCCAATTTCCAAACAAGGAAAAATTGAAAAAAAGGACAACGTGGTAAAAGTCTCATAAGCCCTTGGTAACGTGATTGAATAACATGAAATATAAGTGTATAACGGAAAAAAATGAATGTATGGATTAACAAATAAATTTTAAAGAAATTAAACCGTCTGTAGCATATCAACATTATCGATACGTTATATATTTTTGATTTAATTTTATTTTTAAATTAGAGTGGTTGGAGTCGAAGTTGTAAAATACAATATCGATCACTGCGTCACAAATTTAGATCTAATGTTACTATGAAGATGTCGTCTCCAACGATAAGGTAAGAAAGCTATTATTAACAAGGAATTATACGTTGTAAATACTAAAGTTTGCAGACAGAAGTTTTTTTTTTCTAATTATTTATAATTTATTCATGTTATCCCAAGAATTTTCTGTATAGAAAATATGTCTATGAACAATTTCTTCATAGAATTGATAATGCTACATTGCAACATTGCAGCAGTAAACAAACAAAATTTAATTTTAGACCTTCTTAATGGAAGACAAAAATAATTCATATAAATATATAAAAATATATTTTTACAGAATTCTATAGAATATTGATCTAATCCGATTAAGTTATTTTTCATGGAGTGTATAAATTCTGCTAAGCGTCGTTTCCTTTTTAGAATGATTTCCTGATGTGTCGGACTTTAACTTTCCCCTTTTCCTATTTATATGTAACACAAAGCGTATCTTACCCAAAATATGGAATAAATAAAATTAATTTGATCCAAATTAAAGCCTAGTCCCTACTTTCCGGAAAAATATATTCTACCGCAAATTATATCATTAAAAATATAGCGGATAACAATACAAGATATAATATTATTAAAAAAAGGGAAACAATGAATAAAATTATATATAATTTAATCGATGTTAAATGACAAAGCTGGCCAGAATAAATGATCAGCATAAAAAATTATCTTTTTTGGAATAAAGGCGAGATTTTAACATCTTGTATTTGAATTTTGAACGAGTTAACAAGAAATGTAAATTTTCTTCCCGGAAATTTCATATTCTAAGAATTATTATGACCATGTTGATACTACGGTGCAATATATATTTATAGAAAAGAATTACAATTATTTGGAAACCCAATTGATAATATTTCTTTGGATTTAGGACTTGTTCAAGATGTTTTCCTAATTTCTTCTGGATGGGTAATATTATCCTTCAAAGATAAACTATTCCAATTCTTTTAGGGTTTGTAATATAACCTAAAATTTTTAATTTGTTAATCTGCCTGTAAAAAAAAAATCAAACATATTTATTACAGCTATTTGTAAAAATAACAGACCATTTTTACTACGACGCAGTTATTATTTAATTAAAATTCTGGCTGGAATTATAATTTGGCCAAAATTATGCCGATCAGTAATAATCTCTGCGTATGATTACTCATGAAGCCTCGGAACGAAAATGAAATGAATTGGGTGGTCCTTTTCTTTTGCAATGATCGGCGGTGAATATTTCGCGCTTCTGAATCTCTCAAAGCCGCGTTTATAAAAATTTGCAAGTTAAATAATATGACGTTTCATTAATAAAAGTAGGAAAATTAGATGAAGGATTACATTTTGGAACATTTTGACGTTTTTGGTGGCAGTCATATGATAATACATTATATCCTATATCCTATGTGCTTAGAAATGAAAACCCTGGTCATACTTTAATAAAACTCATTTTATAATTATCAGTTATCGTAGTTAAAGGAACTTCAAATTTTTTCAATAATTTTATCAAATTATTTTTTTTTTTGTGTTACAAATTAGGTAAATCAATGATCACATAACGAATTTTAATCTCTAACCCATGGGATTCACTATAGTAATAAGGATGAATTGTATATGGTTTAAGTTCATTTATCCCAGTGTGAAGCAATGGCTGTTACTAGTATATATTATTAAAATTTCATATTTCTTTTAAAAATCAACCATTCAAATTTTTGACAAGTATTAAACGTTTGAGAAACAATATTAATAAGTAATAATTTTAGAATTTGAAAGTCCAATAAAAATTTGAAAGTTCTGTAGTACAAGTGATATTGGTAATTTATCAAATTCATTAAAATTCGAATATTACAAATTTCGATTTCAAGGTACCAAGCAATGCCGATTATTGAAGAATTTTTCTTCGATTGTAACGTACTAATGTTCAAACTAAATCAATAAGGTCGCTTATTTTAGAAATTTTGATAAACTGATAACTAATTTTTAATATTGACTAAATTATTAATAATTGAAATATCATTATTAATGATATAATGATATAGCAAAAAATAAAATACGTATTATAAGGATCTTTAAAATATAATTTTGATAAATTTATTTTGAGCCTCCTAAAAGTTAAACTTATAACATAAAACATTAGTTCATCACTACTAAACAATAATAAAATACAATTCTAGACAGTACATAACTTAGATGTTAGAATCGATTAAGGTACCTAAAAAATCGGTTAATAGATTAATTTAATCAATTAAAAATGAAAAAATGCAAGATCATTTCAAAATCGATAATTATTTTTTAATATATTTAGTTAGATTGACTTTGTAAAAAAAATACTGTAAAAAAATTTTGATTATTATTTTACATTTTTTTTTTTAGAAAAAATAAACCTTTGTTTTTAAAATATTACATCTTTATAAATTGAACTAAATGATGATTATTCTAAATATAAGCATAGTTCCTATTCATATTAAATGAATCGGGGCCACAAAAGAATGTTGAAAATATTGAATATTTTTGAATATATCTTAATATTTGTGTGTTTTTTATTAAATACTATTCAGCCGGACTAACTTTAGTCAGTTGTCTAATAAATAAAAATTTTTTTTGATTACAAATAATTTATTTTTTATAGTTACGGTGCGTTTCGCCGAAGTCTATTTCACCAAAACCCATTTCGCTGATGCCATTTCGCCGAAGGGATATTTCGTCAAATGGCGTTTCTTTGAATAAACATTTCACTGAATCCTTTTCCCAAATCGCTCATTTCGTCGAAGGACATTTGGCCAAAAATGTTAGTGATTAACATAATTTAAAGAAATATGAAATTGTTTATTTTTGCTCGGAAGTTTCATACGCAGTCATACGACAAGAGCATAATCGATCTGCATAATTCTGGCCAAATTATGAACTTGACCAGAATTATAATTTCCGTTTTAGGAAATTAAATGTTATACAAATTTGAAAAAGGAAATTTTCATTGTGGAATGGCCATCGCCAAAAAAGGATATGATTGGTATAGCCATTGTTATAAAATTACAATTTGGCCAGAATTACTGCCGATCAATAATAATCTTTGCGTATGACTGCGTATGACTGTGTATGAATCTCCGGAGGAAAAATGTCCATTATTTTTGCAAATAGCTGTAATTAAATAAAAATGAACAAACGTGACTTGTAATGTGTAAGAGAATTAGATGTCCCTTCGCCGCCAAAATGCCTTCAGTAACATGGCCATTTGGGAAAATATTTCGGGAAATAGCACTTTAGTGAAACATCTCTTCAGAGAAATTGCTTCGGCGAAATGGGTTTTGATGGAATGGACTTTGGCGAAAAGTCCAGATACCATTTTATACCATTTTTTATTCGTATAGCAAGAAGAAATAACGATGCAAACTATCAATAATTTATGTAATAATAAATTATATAAATTGATAATATCCTTTATAATAGATTTATTCCATGTTTTTTTATTCCATGTTTTGTTTTCTGCATATTCACGTGATTTTTACAGAAATTACGGATCAAATTACAGGGTAAGTAACATGAAATTCAATTACAAATTTTCAAAAAAAAATAATTTATTTAATTCTAATACTTAATTTTCATTATGTACTCAGTAATACAGATATTCAGCTCAAAAGCCTCAAATAATTAAGAAGTTTATCAATTAGGTCTTTGCTATACATATCTGAATTGAGGGACCAATTAGATTTTAATAGTCGAAAGTTTCTTTTTTGCGAATATTTACATTAGATATTGAATAGTAATTTTATACCAGTATTATCTTTTTAATAGTGGAATATGACTTATTGATAAATAAATAACTGCTAGCATCAAAAAATAATTTTTCTTGTACAAAATATTTATAACATTTATATATCAATTTTGAATCATTCTTTAAAATAATACAAAGTAATTTAATCAATTACAAGCTACTTTTATTTATGTAAAAAAAGTTTACATTTTAACTCTATAATCAATGAACAAAAATTATAATATCAAAAATTAATTTCTCATTATAATAAACCTAACAAAATCTTTAATTAATCATAAAATTTACCTTAATTGCACAGTCTAAGCAATCAGTATTATCATCTGCGTATTTTGGAAGATTTTCCGTAAAAGGATTGAGTAATCTAGATGTATAGAAAGCTTGAGAGTGAGTTGTTGAATGATTATTTTTACCTACTCCATTATTATTGTATCTATATTCTTCTGCTTCTTTGAATTGATCGTCATTATTTGAATAAAATTGCTTAATTAATTCTTCCACTTCAGCAACATTAGGCCTATTCATTGGATTTAAATCCAAACACTTTATCATTAGGTCAATATAACAATTAGGTGCTTCTTGCTCATTTGTTTCTGGTCTAATTCCTTTACAAATATCTAATGCTAATAATCCATCATGAGCACGATTTGCAAATGGTTGTTTTTCAGTTGCCACAAAATACATCATCATTCCAAAGCTATATATATCTGCTGCTTTAGTATAAGGTCTTCCTCTTAATACTTCAGGAGCTACGTAGGGCATAACTCCATAAGTTTTTGTTTCATCTATGTTATTAACTTCTCCACTTGATCCCATATCTGAAATATAGTTTGAAGTAGCCCAATAATAAGTATCCTTAAATAATATATTTCCTGTATGAAAATCACGATGAACCATCTGTTTTTGATGCATTTCTTTAAGACCATTAATAATATTATTCAACACTTTTAATTTATTTGACCAACTAAAGTTTTTATGATTATTATTTAACCAATTATTAAAATTTCCACCTCTTGCATGTTGAAGAACCATAATATAATCTTCTGTATCTGGGTTTTGAGATATACCATATATTTTAAGAATTTCACCAGAATTGTCAAAATTATTAAACCTACTAATTGAATATGCTTTAACCTAAAAAAAGAAAAATAATTACTAATTATTATATTTAAGAAAATGTACTCAAATTAAATATTTTCGTACCTCACTTAGAAATTTATTAGAAATATTTTGAGAATCATCTAAACATTTTAAAGCTACCGTTTTATTTAAATCTCTTGTATATTCCTTTTTATTCCAATATAATGGACCTTCCATCCATCTTGCTGAATATACTTTAGCAAAACCACCTTTACCTATTTCTTTAATATCATTAAATTGGTTGTATGGTATCCATTCAAATATTATATCATTATGATCATTAATTTTTAATTGCATTTCCTGAATTAATTTATCAATTTGTTCATTATTACTGGTCCAGTTCATAAAATTCTCTTTTAAATAATTTATTTGACATGATTTACACCATTTATATTCTGCATTTATATATTTGTTGGCACATTTATCACAAAAAATTTTAAAATATTGATTTAATTCAAGGACTATAATATAATTCATTGTATTAGAATTTTGTGATATTCCATACAACTGAAATTCTTTATACTGTACAATAATCTATTATCAAAAATATTAATATTATAGAAAATATTTAAATTAAATTTACAGAAAATTTACATACCTTGTTCAGAAATTCTTTAGTAATATTTTGTGAAATAGTTAGATATATTAAAATAACTACTTTATTTATTGAATTTCTTGTATATTCCTTTTTATTCCAATATAATGGACCTTCTATCCATCTGGCTGAATATACTTTAGAAAAATTATCTTTGCCTATTTTTTTAATGTCATAAAACTGATTATATGGTATCCATTCAAATATTATATCTCCATGATTATGAATTTTTAGTTGCATTTCTTGAATTAATTTATCAATAAGTTCATTTTCACTAGACCAGCTTGTGAAATTTTCTTTTAACCAACTTATTTTGCATGATTTACACCATTTATACTCCACATTTGTAAAGTACTTTTCACATTTTATACAGTAATTTTCCAAATATTGATCTACATTAAATATCATAACGTAGTCCTTTGTTTTAAGATTTTGAGATATGCCATATATATCAACTTTATCATAATATGCTGTAATCTATTAAAAATAAATGTTATTATATCGTAATATACTTGAAATTAATTTCATAGAAATTTACATACCTCATTTAGAAATTCATAAGTAATATTTTGTGAGTCAACTAAATATTTTAATATAACTGCACTATTTTCTAAACTTCTTGCATATACATTTTTATAATGACTAAATGACAATGGACCATCCTTCCATCTTGCTAAATATGTTGTATGGCTTAATTCTTTGGTATCATTGAATTGATAATATGGTATCCATTCAAATATTATATCTTTATAATCATTAACTTTTAATTGCATTTTCTGAATTAATTTATCAATAAGTTCATTTTCACTCGTCCAGTTTGTGAAATTTTCTTTTAACCAACTTATTTCACATGATTTACACCATTTATATTCTGCATTTGTAAAATATTTTTCACATTTTACACAGCAATTTTTCAAATATTGATCTTCATTAAATATGACGATGTAATCCATTGTATCAGGATTTTGAGATATACCATATATTTTAATTTTACTATAATACGTTATAATCTATTAAAATAAGTGTCAATATATCATAATTTGCTTGAAATTAAATTTATAGAAAATTTACATACCTTATTTAAAAATTCATTAGTGATATTTTGTGAATTAATTAAACATTTTAAAATAACTGCTTCATTTGCTGAATTTTTTTTATATCTTTGTTCATTCCAATACAATAAATCATTATTCCATCTTGTTACATATCTTTCTACATTCCAATACAATAAACCATCTTTCCAGCTTGCTAAATATGTTGTATTGCTTAATTCTTTAATATCATTAATTTGATTGTATGGTATCCATTCAAATATTACATCTTTGTAATCATTAATTTCTAATTGCTCCTTTTGAATTAGATTATCAATTTGTTTATTGCCGCTAGTCCAATTTGTAAAATTTTCTTTTAACCGATATATTTGGCATGCTTTACACCATTTATACTCTGAATTTGTGTAAAACTTTCCACATGTTACACAGCAATTCTTCAAATATTGATCTTCATTAAATATCATTATGTAATCCTTTGTATTAGGATTTTGAGATATTCCATATATTTCAACTTTATCATAATATGCTATAATCTATTAAACATGAATGTCATTATTTTATAATGTACTTGAAATCAAATTCATAGAAAATTTACATACCTCACTTAAAAATTCATTGGTAATATTTTGTGAATTAATTAAATATTGTAAAATAACTGCTTTATTTGCTGAATGTCTTATATATTGTTTTTCATTCCAATATAATAAACCATCCTTCCACCTTGCTAAATATGTTGTATTGCTTAATTCTTTAATATTATTGAACTGATAGTATGGTATCCATTCAAATATTGTATCATTATAATAATTTATTCCTAATTACATTTCTTGAATTAATTTATCAATATGTTCATTTTCACTGGTCCAGTTTGTGAAATATTCCTTTAACTGACTTATTTCACATGTTTTACACCATTTATATTCCATATTTGTAAAGTACTTTTCACATTTTACACAACAACTCTCCAAATATTGATATATATTAAATATCATAATATAATCTCTTGTGTTAGGATTTTGAGATATACCATATATTTTAACTTTATTGTAATATTCTGTAATCTATTAAAAATGAATGTCAATACATTACTTAAAATTAATACATAGAAAATTTACATACCTCACTTAGAAATTCATTAGTAATATTTTGTGAATCGATCGAATACTTTAAAATAACTGTCACATTTGCTGAACTTCTTATATATCCTCTTTCATTCCAATATAATAAACCATCCTTCCATCTTGCTAAATATGTTGTATTGCCTAATTCTTTAATATCATTAAATTGATAATATGGTATCCATTCAAATATTATATCTTTATAATCACTTATTTCTAATTGCATTTTTTGAATTAAATTATCAACAAGTTCATTTTCACTAGTCCAGCTCGTGAAATTTTCTTTTAACCGACTTATTTCACATATTTTACACCATTTATATTCCACATTTGTAAAGTACTTTTCACATTTTATACAGCAATTCTCCAAATATTGTTCTTTATTAAATACCAAAATGTAATCCGTCGTATTAGGATTTTTAGATATACCATATATTTTAACTTTATCATAATATTCTATAATCTATTAAAATGAGTGTCAATATATTATAATGTACTGGAAAGAAATTAAATTCATAAAAATTTACATACCTCATTTAGGGATTCATTAGTAATATTTTGTGAATTAACTAAATATTTCAACATAACTGCAATGTTTGCTTTATTTCTTGTATATTTATTTTTATAATAACTATATGATAATGGACCATCCTTCCATTTTGCTAAATATGCTGTATTGCTTAATTCTTTAATATTATTAAACTGATAGCATGGTATCCATTCAAATATTATATCTTTATAATAATTAATTCCTAATTGCATTTTTTGAATTAGACTATCAATATGCTCATTTTCACTAGTCCAGTTTGTGAAATTTTCTTTTAGTTGACTTATTTCACATATTTTACACCATTTATACCTCACATTTGTAAAATACTTTTCACATTTTATACAGCAATTCTCCAAATATTGATCTTTATTAAATACTATAACGTAATCCATTGTATTAGAATTTTGAGATATACCATATATTTTGACTTTATCATAATATGCTATAAACTATTGAAAATAAGCGTCAATATATTATAATTTACTTGAAATTAAATTCATAGAAATTTTACATACCTCATTTAGAAATTCATTAGTAATATTTTGTGAATCAACTAAATATTTTAATACAACTGCAATATTTGTTAAACTTCTTGTATATACATTCTTATAATAACTATATGATAATGGACCATCCTTCCATTTTGCTGAATATGTTATACTGCTTAACTCTTCAATATTATTAAACTTATGATATGGTATCCATTCAAATATTACATCTTTATAATTATTAATTTCTAATTGCATTGTTTGAACTAGATTATCAATTTGTTCATTTTCACTAGTCCAGCTTGTGAAATTTTCTTTTAACCAACTTATCTGGCACTGCTCACACCATTTACACCAAACATTATGTGCATTTGTATGATACTTTTCACATTTTACACAGAAATTCTTCAAATATTGATCTTCATCAAATATTATAATATAATTCCTTGTGTTAGGATCTTGAGATATGCCATATATTTTAATTTTATCATAATATGTTATAATCTACGAAATAAGTGTCAATATATTATAGTGTATTCGAGATTAAATTCATAAAATTTACATACCTCATTTAAAAATTCATTGGTAATATTTTGTGAATTAACTGAATATTTTAGTATAACTTCAATTTTTGCTTTATTTCTTGTATATTCATTTTTATGATAGCTATATGATAATGGACCATCATTCCATTTTGCTGAATGTGTTGTATTGCTTAATTCTTTAATATTATTAAACTGATGATATGGTATCCATTCAAATATTACATCTTTATAATCATTAATTCCTAATTGCATTGTTTGAATTAATTTATCAATTTGTTCGTTTTCACTTGTCCAGTTCGCAAAATTTTCTTTTAACCAACTTATTACACATAGCTTACACCATTTATACCGTTCGTTTGTGTATATTTTAGAACATTTTACACATGCTTTTCTTAACAAATCTTCCATCCTTGACACATATATGGATTATATAAATTCTATGAAGGTTTTCAAAAAAAAAAAAAATAATGCTTTTATTCGTAACCTATCACAACATATACGAAGCTTTGTATTACTTTTGTGTTACGTTTATTTTACATATGTACTAACATAATAAATGATCGACGTTCAAAATAATGACGTAAAAAAAAAATATAATAAAAAAAACTTGGTCATATTTAGATTACTTTGTATGAATTAATCTGAATTGTGTAATCTCCATCAAATCTATTAGAATTATGTCATTTTATAGTTAAAACTAAACGCCAATCATTTTCGTAGACTACCATGAAAATGACGTTAGTGATCAGGTGTAAATATCCTTGATAAGACGGAACGATTTTTAAAAAAT